GCCAATTTTGGGTAATAATACCACCAGTTAACCCATTAGAAGATGATTCCTATACTCCCCCCTACATCTCACCAACTATATCACCACTACTTCCCCATTACCCAGACCAGTATAGGAATAACCAATTACCTCATCCATATTTATTATCATCCCGAAATGGGCAAAAGTTATCTCGTAGGTTTTACTAGGTTTAGGGTTAAAGGTTGTCATCATAACATACTCATAGCGCAATGCCTCTTATACAGTATGTTTATATCATACTTATAAATGCATTATCCGATATAGTTTAGAGAACGAATTGTTTTCACTGGTTTGCTCTGGTTGCTTACTGGCGATATCCTTGACCTCATAAAAGGCAAGAAGGAAGAATATCTAGCTTCAGGAATGATTGAGTGTCTGCATAAGATGGGAAAAATCCTATGATGATTTATGCTGATGATGAAAGTGCTTTATCTAAAGACTCTATACAAACTTATTTAAAAGAACAGAAAATACAGCACCATAGGACAAGGGCACATGCAAATTTCAGTGAGAAGGCGATCAAAACTTTTAAGGACATGTTATATAAAAGAGTTGAGGCTGACGAGAAGAAGGGGAAAAGTAATATTCAATGGACTGATTATATTCACGAGATATTGCTGACATATAATGACCACATGATACATTCCGCTACAAAATTCACGCCAAAAGAGGCACGCAAACCAAGTAACGAATTAAGCGTCAGGTTGATTAATTATTGCTAGTAGTGGTAAACAGGATCGGTTATATCCAGATCTTGATAAGGGTGACGAAGTCAAGATATTTAGGAAGCGAAAACCGAACGAGAAGGAGAGAATAACTAACTGGTCGCAAAATCGCTACCGTGGAGAAGATTGAGAAGAGACTCGGGCAAAACTACTATTATGTGGAAGGCGTTGATAGGGCTTATTTAAGGTTCCAACTATTGAAGGTTTGAACCACATTTTGAATGCACGACATCCCACATTGGAGTTTTTAAAGTGATGTTGTGTGTGCGACGCTTGTGACTTTGTAGTCTGTAAATGTTGGACACGAGGTGGCTGTGCTTTGGGCTTGTTGAACGTCGCATGGACTTTCGTGTGCGAAGTAAGGTCGGCTTTGCAGGCTGCCATAGAAACACCTCTGTTTGCACGTACTTGCTGAACACTTTTGTGTTCCTGTGCAATAACTCCAGCTTTACCTACTGAACACTTTTCTATTCACCTGTGGAATTATTCTGGCTGTGGAATTATTCCGGCTGCCTGCATACCGAACACTTTTCTGTTCGACTGTGGATTACAGCATTCCTGCCGAACACTATTTCGTTCATGTCACGAATACATTTTGGTTCACCCTCGCGGCTTTTTGGATTCACCTTTCGAGCTTTTTTCTGCCCGCCCGTCCAACACTTTGCTGTTCACCGCTGAACCAAAGCCTGGGATGCTGCGAAGGAGTCTAAACGAAGTTGTTTTAGGAATGCTACCTAAAATTTCTGGATGAAGAGCACGTGACAGCCCAGAAATTTGAGCAGCCATGGAACTGCAAATAGCCAAGGAAAGGGACCGCAGCTCCGAAACCAAGGAGTGTAAACGATTTGGCTGTAACTAAAGGTCCCCTTATTAGGTCCCGATATTCGTTCTGAAAAAGTAACCCTTGCCCCAAACAAGCATCAGATCCAGCCCTAAATGATTGCCACTTGCAGTTTTAAGGTGAGGGACTTAGGGCTTAGAAATGTTAATGCTTTCGCTTGCAGGTAGTTGAGTTTCTCATCCACCGTGAGCAAAGTCGCTTTTCTCACGCGCCGTTGGCTTCAATTCGTCACGCGTGCCCGCTTCGCAGGATGCTTGACACTTTCTTCATCCTCACTTTGCGCGGCGGTCAACTCGCACACAGTCTCCCAATGCATAAACACAGCCTCCGGAATGCAAGCGTAATTTGTCTATGAAGTCCTTGTATCGATCAGCCAGAACTCTTCTGTACGGCATTTGGTCTGTGGGCATCTGCTGGAAATCATGGCGCGCATGTCGTACTTTGCCATTTGCGCAGGCTGACGGTCGCCCAGTCCAGTCCCCAGAAGAGCTAACAATATTCCACTTGCCACTGACAATGCTTGGAACGAGTGCTAGTTTAGCATCGTCAAAGAAGCCATGTTGCAGACATGATCGAAGTGGAATTCCCGAGCGAACTGTCTGCCCTTGTTGGACTTCTGATAAGTTGGCATTTTCGTAGCAATGTGCGCCACAGAGAGACGGCGCGAGTCTTTGCAACCACACAGCGCACAGACGGGATAAAGATCTTTGCATGCCCGCTTTGTCTCAAGACTAAAAGCGGCTGCGGCCTCACCGTGGCTGGACTGCTCTGCAGAGCTGTCTCTTTTTTGAAGCCTTTGGATCTGCGCAAGCTGATTTTCAAGGTTCTGGAGTCGCGCTTGTGTTTTTTTATAGGGAAAGCAAGCAAGCACCCGAATCTACAACAAACCCCAACCCTGCAGAAAGTCGACACTAAAACACCTAGACCCCAAACAGGTCCTACATTCCCCAAAAACACCTGAACCACCAAACTAACCGAGCAATAAATCCGAGCAAGGACCAAACCTCCTAGCGTGAACTACGTAAGGCGACTATGGTCATCTGCTCTTGGTCAGACTTCGGTGCATCATGTCGGGATTCACTGCCTATTGTCCTACAAGCTTTCAACCCTAAACCTAGTAAAATCTATGAGGGAACCTTTGCCCATTTCGGGATAATAATACCACCTTAGGGAATAT